GTCTTTGCTAATCTTTGTCTTGTTTTCTTATAAAATAGAATTTCAGCTGCTGAGCTGCTGAAGTGCTTGGGGATATTTTTGCCCCCTTGAAAGTAAAGAAGGAAGCACTCAGCAGTGTCTGAAGGAGCAGCCACACCTCAGGGATGTGCAGTGAGCACCAATCCACGTAAATCCATGGGCTTCAGAGAGCACTGAGAGCCTTTGGTGAGGGCATGGCAGGAGTTGCTCAGGTGTGCTGGCTGCATGCAGTTTTCTCTATGGAAATACTGTTTGAATTCCCTGCTTACCTTGTGCTGGTCAGGGACATCCCTTCCCAGCTAATGCATGTCAGGAATGGTGTTGGCATCTAAGTGAAGGTCAGATTAAATCCTGGTGAGGGTTTGTTGCTGATGTGCAGCGTGGCACAGTCACTGCTCAGATGAGTATTTGAGCTCCTCAATCAGCTCTGATTCTCTCCACTTTTCTGGTTTGCCATCCCCTGCCCAAAAAATAAGATTTTGCTGGACACAGGAGCTTTACAGCCACCTATCTCTGCAGGATCAACCAGACCTGCTCATCTGGGGATTAAAACACACGTGAGATGCCCGCAAAGAGGCCAAGCCTGGAGAGCCTGAAAGGCTGGGAACTGCTGCCCCAAAGGAAAGCAAAGCTTTCCTCTTATCACTCACTTCCAAATCCAACCAGCCAATTACACATCAATTAAACTTTGTTTGAACATAATAGAAGCTTTGGCTCCATGTCAGCAACTGCTCCACGGTTAAGGGGATTGGATAGTAATAGTATAAATAAATAAACAAGAGATGCTTATTCTAACAGTTCATTTTAAAACAATTTGTGAATATCATGTAGAGATAAAATGTGCCTAGCATAAACTTAGCTAAGCAGTGACTGCTTCATTATCAGAACAAATAATTCACTAGCACATCATCTTTGAAGCTTGGGAGGCCTGTGGAATTGTGCTGCTTGTTTATTTTCCTGGCTTTTACTGGTTTTGCTACATTTCATCTGCAGGGAAGGGTTTAGCCAAGCCCTGGTGATGCCAACCTGGCTCCCACTGGCCACAGTCCCCAGAGCCAGGCACAGCCCCTCTGCCCTCCCCAGGGCATCACCCAGGAAATCACTGTGGGGTTTTAGTGCCATGTGGGGTGTCCTGCTCACACAGGAGGCACCGTCGTAGCCTTTTCTTCTTGATCGCTTTCTTTGAGGGTGCCTTTCTTTTGTGAACATAAAAACTGATTTAAGTTTTGCTCTGTGAGGGGCAGTGAGAGCTGCTGCCGTGGCACAGCAGCACATTGTCCCTGCCAGTGCAGGGGTGGGACAGGAACGTGCCTGTCAGAGCCACTAAACCCAGCACAGAGCTCTGAGGGGCACACCAGACCCTCAGGATAGGGCTGAGGAGCCTGGATGGTCCCTTCTGTCCTGGCTGGAGCTGGAGGGAGGGGGAAATGGGTTTAAATGTGCCTAAAACTGGGGTCCTGTCAGTTTTGGTGTTTTGCAGAAGAGGCTGTTGGGGCTGGTGCTTGGCTGCTTGTGCTGAGTTCCTTGTGCATCACACGGGTGCTCCCAGGGCTCGTGGCTGGTCCCTGGGTGGGCAGGGGAGCTGTGGGGCTGCTGGTGGCTGGTGGCCCTGCTCCCTGAGTGGCCTTGCTGCCTCCACCTTAGGTGTGCTGCTGGGCTGGACACACTCCTGGTGTGGCTTTCAAAAAAAGGAGTATAAATTAGAAGGAAATTGGTCCGGTGCTGGACATCCCCGTCCCAGGGATGGCATTGTCATTGGCACATTCAGGGCATTTGCTGCAGCCCATGGACACTGTGTCCAAACAGTGGGGCTGAACAAAAGATGATCAGGCCAGGAATTGCTGCAATTAATTTCCTGAGTACTGGTGGCTCAAACTTAATGGGAGAGTTGGGTGTTGCTGTGCTGCGCTTGTGCCCATCACTGAACCTCACCGAGCTGCCCCGTTTGCCCAGGCAGGGCTGCAGCTGCCCTTGGCACAGGAGGTGCCCTGAGGATCAGGTGTCACCTGCTTGCACACGCTCCCCAGGAAGCCCCCGATTCCCAGTTGTTGTCCCCAGCTCCTGCGCAGCAATGCTCTCCCCCGCTTTGGAGCCGTGCGGGAAGGAGGGTGGATAAAACAGGGATCTTGCTTCAGACCTCCCACCAAAGCCAGGCTGAGCTTTCCCAGAGCTTGGCAAGACGTTGGCAAGTTTTATTGCAGCACTGGGTGATTTTTGTGCCTCTGCTGGTCCCCGAGCAATGGATGATGAAGCAACCTATTGTCCGGGAGCTGGCCGGAGCGGAGCATCCTCCTCGGAGCCGCCCATCCGCCCGGAGCTCCTGCCTGCCCCGCTGCCCGAGGCGCTGCTTGTGCAAAGCTCCTGCTCAGCTGCAGCTCCTCGTGCCTGTCAGTAGCTCCATTGACCTGGAGGAAATTTGGGGAAGCAGGCAGGTTTTTGGACCCTTCCCAGAGCTGGCAGGGAGCTCTATAGAGCCACTGTAGGCATAGCCTCACTCCCAAGCAAGGCTGGTGCAGCTCCACCGTGGTTTTCTGCTCCCTTCTTTCAAACGGGACGTTTAATAAGGACCAGGACATGATATTAGGTACTGTCCCTTGCCTTTTTTTTTTTTTTTTTCTTTTTAATTCAGTCTCTATGACTGCATTTCCTTGGCCCCAGCTCTCAGGTTTGTCATGCCTTCCCACCAGAAATGCACAACCCATGTTTGTATCATATTGCAAAGAGATATTTACTAAACGAGCCTCTGCCAAGGGGTTGAGAAATATGTTTTCATTAAGAAAATTAAACTGACAAGTCCCTGGACAGCACATTAGTCGCATATTTTTTCTTTAAGGCCAAAATGCAGCAGCTAATAATAATGATGAAATGTCCATGCACAGCCAAATTACTAAAATTTACCCAGTGTTTTCCTGGAAAAGAATGCAGAGAGTTGGCAAACTTGGTTGTAGCTGGGTCTGTGGACTGCTGAGTACAATGCTACCACTGCGAGATAGTGAGTGGTTTGCAAGTTAAGCAACACCTTCAATCAGATGTGAGTCCCCATTTGTTATCCTTAAAGAATTTCAGCTGTATATATTATAGTAGTACTTTGGCTCTTTGTATTTATTTTAGAGGGCTATACTAAAGAACATTATAAACTCAGGCATGTCCATGCTATATGAACTCCATATGCTGAAGCTTAATTTTAAATGCCATTAAAAAAGCACTTAACATTTACAATATATCAGTTCAGCTACTTTAGCAGCTTGGATGTTCTACAGTAAATGAAATGATTTAGGGAAAAATAAATTCAGAAGCTCAATGTTATAAAAATCCCCAATGCAGGTATGATAGACGGTCAAATTGTGTCCATCTCATTTTTTTGGTTTTTAATAATTTTCACCTCTTTTTTTCTTCTTTTTTTTGTTTCATTTTAAAATGCCATTTTAAGGCCTAATTTAAAAAAAAAAAAAAATCTTGGCATTCAGATTGGATTCCTTATACAATTTTTTTCAATGTGTGAATTGGGCTGTGTATTCACAAATTGAAATGTCCTACTGTATTTACCCAGGTGCTTACCTGTAGGAGGACAAGGTTAAGAGGAGTGCAGAGTTTATGAATGAAAATCAAAGAGGGACATTGGTAAACCACCCCTTTTTAGTCCAGGCTAATTACATGGTAAACATCTGGAATTTATGCAGGGCGGTTAAAAGAGTCAATTGAAACGATTTTGAACAGGGCCCATTTTGTTGCCTTCTCCCCAAGCAGCGACAAAATGGTGCTGCAGACCTGGACCAGCTCAGGAAAAGAGGGATAAAGTGGGGGACAAAGTGGCCTTGATGTCTGATGGAGAAATGACATCAGGATTTGGGCCCATTTTCATTCAGGTAATTAGGAGGAGTGCAGGATGTGGCAATTCTCATCCTCCATCCCTTGTGCCTGCGGGGAGGAGAACTTTGTGTCCTGGCTGGAGGGCTGTGCTGAGCCAGTTTGCTCTATTGACTTGGGTGTTTTTACTGGATGAGGAGGAGCTGAGGAAGATGGAGCCAAGAAAATAGTTACTCTGAGGATGTGAAGTGCCTAATCCTGCAAATCCTGGCTGCTGACACGGCCTCCAGGGATTGGGAAGCCCATGGCAGTGTCAGTATCCATTAGGGCCCTCTCCTTTAGATTGCAAGGCCAGACTGTGATGGAATCTGCTGTTTTCACAGCCACAGAGCTTTAGAAAAAGGTTCTTATTAATATCACAAAGGCTCTTTAGGTCTGTAAGACATGTAAATGTTGTCTAGTGATGCACTGGTTTAATGGGGTTCTCTAGTTTGGTTGCTGAAGCTGATGGGACAGGCACATTTTGGTGGGAAGCTCTGCCATGCTCCAGGCTCCAGCAAGGTTTAATGGGTGTGCTGTGAATTTGGGAAATCTGGGAAAGCCAGAGGAACCTGTCTGTACCACCACGGGGTTTAACCTTTTGTTTCCCCAGGCTTTGCTGATCCTCAATTCTCAGTTTGTTGAAGGGTACACAGGGGTAGTGGTGGGACCTGGTGGATATTGGGATCGTGTGAATGACAAAGCCTGTGCTCAGTTTCCTCTGAAATGTAGGCAGGTCTCCTGACCTTTCAAACACTCCCATAGCAGCAAGAAATCTGGAATTTTGATGCAGCCATAAGCCAGGTAGAGCCTCCTGTAGAAGTGAGGGCTCTTTGTTCAAGCCTCCCACAAACAGAGATGTATTGACCCCCCTATATCTCTCTCTCTCTGCACCCTTCTTTTCCTGGCATTGGCACATAGCTCCCCTCCCTATACTCTTACCCAAATTTGTGCCCACTTTTGCACTGGCACATGCTCTGGAAAGAGAGTTTAATTCAAATATGAATAAAAACCAACAATGTCCTCACAGGAATCCCTCTGAGGGTGGATCTGCTTTTTTGGGCTGCTGCTCCAAGTTTCCATGAGTTGCAGTGCTTCCATCCCTCACTAACATGGTAACCTCTGCTTTCCCTAAGGAGGATGTTTCCCAGTTACAAGGTCAAGGTGACTGGAATGAACCCCAAGACCAAATACATTTTGTTGATCGACATCGTCCCGGCCGACGACCACCGGTACAAATTCTGTGACAACAAATGGTAAGGACAACCCTTCTGTTTGCCTGGTTTTCCATAAGAAAATTGCAATTGGATCAACAATTTGTTGTGCAAACTTGGAAAGCAACAGAAACACCTTCCCACGGGAGGGATGCCAACATCCCAGAGCTCTCTTTGGTGGAGCAATGATGGACAAAGAGCCAGGGCTGGAAGTTTAAACTAGTCAAATATAAAATGAAATATTATTGACAGGCTGGGTGGTTAACTACTGGAAAAAAGTGCTGCTGGGGACTTGTCCATCCCCAAAGTGTTCTAGGCTGGGGAGTTTTCTTGGAGAAGATGCTTTAGGCCAAGCATAGGTTTGTCTGGCCGTGTAGGAAGGTAAAGCCACAGCCTGCCTTGTACCAGAGGGTGGACAGGATGATCTAATGGTCCATTTTGGTCCTCAAAATTAGGTCTCTATGTGACTCAAGAAAAGTTTTAAATTCCTTCCTTCTATAGTAATATTTTGCTTTTAGGAGAGCAGCTATAAAGCGAAATGTGGGTTAGTTTGCTCAGAGCCCTGATTCTCTTGTTATTCTTGCCTTGCCTGTGCCTTTCCTAGCAGTTACTTACCCGAGAGGCAGCTGAGATTTCTGCTCTCTGACAAAGGAAACGTGTTGTTTTCTCTTTTGACTTTTCCCCCCTAAAATGCCCAGCAGCCTCCCTCACTGCCACTATTTGCTGTGGTTTCCCCAAACCCTTCCACTGGCTGCTGCCTGGTGAAAAGCAATGGAAAATTTCACAGGGAACGAGCCCGGTGACATCTCAGAAAGCAATAATTATTTACTTGCACATTAGGGCTGCTCCAGTATTTTTTTTAAAAATCCCTTTTCCATGTGCTTTTGTCCTGGAATGCCTCTGGGTAAGAGGAGTGGACTGAAGGTCTCTGCACCACGGTGGCCACTTTGTGTGTTTCAGACATTAAACACGAGATGATGGATAGTTGTTAACTCTGGTTAATTTAGTTTTTGCCAGCCCTAGAGCTGTTTCCCCTTTTCCTTTTATTGCTGCTGGAAAGTTTCTGTTGTTTTTGGTAATATTGCTTTTATTGGGGTTTTATAAGAGGAGAACAATGTGGAGTAATGAGGGCGTTGCCATTAAACGATGTCTCATGGCTGGGCCTTGTGTCCATGAGAGCTGGTGATGGTGTGGGGCAAGGGGAGCTGCAGAAGGGTGCTGGGAGCAGCTCCAGAGTGGGGAAACAGCCCCTTCCCACTGGGACAGGCTGTGGGAGCCTGCCTGGCTGTGAAGGGTGCAGCCACACCAGCTCTAATCCTGCCCACAGGTACTTTCTCCTGTGCAGGGCCATCTCCCTTTGCAGAAGGGTCTTTGAAGACTTCCAAAAAACCAGACAAGTTTTCCTCCTTGAAAAATGTCTCCACAATGCCCATGTGGAGACACTGCCTCAAGGAAATTCCATGTGGGAGCAGGGATGGGGTGACTCTGCCAGCCTTTGATGCTGGAACAGGATCCCAAAACCGCCATGAGCAGCAGGAGCCTCCCTGAGTTCCCATGTCCTGCTGCATCCCCCCAGGGCTGGCAGGAGGGTTGCTGGGATGACTCCAAGGACAAAAAGCTTTTCTACATCCAGACTGTGCCAGGGTGATGCCATCTGTCCCCTCTGTTCTCAGGATGGTGGCCGGGAAGGCCGAGCCAGCCATGCCAGGCCGGCTGTACGTGCACCCCGACTCCCCCGCCACAGGAGCCCACTGGATGAGGCAGCTGGTGTCCTTCCAGAAGCTCAAACTCACCAACAACCACCTGGATCCCTTTGGACACGTAAGAGAGACATTCTGCAAGGGGTTAGGGTGGAGGTGGGCTCCTAATGCTGAGTTTGTGTCTGGGATGCTGTGTGGGATGTCACAGTTTATTAGTTCATTAGTTAATTTGGAGCAACATTATTTTGTGCTGGGGGGGGGTTGTTTGATGCAAAGAGAGAGGGTCTGTGTGCCTCCCCTGCTCTTGGAAATGCAGCCATGACTGGCTCAGTTGTGTCCTGTTGGATGCCACTGAGTTTTTCTTTTGTGCCCAGGAACTTTCCAGGCAGCTCTGTGGGATTTTCAGCCCAGCACGTGGTACATGCAGCTCACAGAAGCAGGTTGCATAAACTTCTGATTTTCCAAGCTGGCTTTGGCAGCCCTAAAAAAGATGAAGTATTTTATTTGGAAAATCTTGATTCATGTGTATTGGGAATGCAGAGGTGGGGAGCACACAGTTATCTTCCCCAGTGCATTCAGTAACTCAGACCAAGGGCCCTTGCAGCCTGCCAGGAGAGTGAGTGCTCAGATACTGCATATAAAAACACAGAGCTGTCTGGTTTGCACAATTTGAGCTGAAAGTCACGTAAAAATAAACCATCCTTGGTGGGAGGAAGAGAAGAAAGAGTTTAAAAATCCTTCTAGGTTTAGTGCCATCAGCTCCTCCTTGTACCACAGGTAAGAGAATCTCATTTGTGTCATCCGATGTGGGTTTTAACCTGATGGTGTTTTAAGCAGCAGCAGTTTGGAGGGCAGGGGAGGCTGTGAGAAGGGTGCAGAGTGGGAAGGGGTGTATCTGTCTTGCTCAAAATGATTGTGCATTGAGCCTCTAAAGAGCAACTTTTCACTTGGAGTCAACGTCTGATGCCTCCCAAAGCTGTCCAGAAAGTGCAATTCTGGCACAGCTAAATCAGCTGGAGCTTTAGGGGGTTGATTCCAGAGGCAGGAGGACCCCACCAGCTTAAAACACTCCTAAAAATCCTGAATTTTTGTCAGTGTTTGTAATTTTTTTGTGGATTTTGAGCCTCCAAAAGCCGGGCCCTGGCAGGGACTCGGTGATAACCCAGCCCCGTGCTGGGCCCTGACCCCCTCCCCACCCTACTGACCCCACTGAGACATGTGTGAGCTTCAAAGGCTCCCCGGCACTGTTTAATGCTGCTGTTATTAATCACAGCCCATCTCTGCTGCCCCTGAAGGGGGGAAAGCACCACGGAAATGAAATGAAATGAAATGAAATGAAATGAAATGAAATGAAATGAAATGAAATGAAATGAAATGAAACAACGGCACCAGGGCTCACTCAGTAAAAGGGACACAAAGTCACCTCTGCCACCGTTTCACTGCCACAGCCATCCCGACCCCCTGGCTCTGCACGTGGCATTTTTTCACTCCGTGTTTTTCTCTTGGTTAACTCTGCAGCTTAATATACGACTGTTTATGCTGTAAAATGTAAACCATAAAACATGCAGGATGTGCGATGTGGCTGTAAAACAAACAGGATGTGCCGTGTTGGTTTTGCAACTTTAAACGTTTGCTTTTCCTGACTTTGTCATTTTTTAACTGAGATTTTAGCGCTGCATTTTAACAGGGAAGATTTTAACCCCCTCCTCCTTTCCAATGAACAGCCTGCTTGTGTTCCCACAAGGTTTCCTTAGTGAGGCAGTGGGGACTCTGGTTTGGGTTTTGGGGTAATATCCACCAAGCTGTGGCTCCAGAGGAGCCCTGCTCAGTGTCCTTGGGCCATGTACCACAGCCCAGCACCTTCCCTCTCACATTAATGGGAAAATACCTGAAATAATCCATTTTAAAGTGCCTGGTTTGCTGCTCACTTCAGGCACTGACAATCTGTATGGCTAAATGAGACTGAACCCATTCTCAACCATCTCCTTATTAGGCTCCTAAATTAATTATCTGCTTTAGAGGTGTGGTGCTCCTTGTTTTGTGGTGCACAGGGAGGAGAGCTGGACTCTGCACCAGGACAGGGGAAGGCTCCCATCAGCTCAGGCTCAGAACAGTTCTGCTGTTGCAGGGTCTGTCCCACGAAGGCATTACTTTAGGAATAATAACAGCTTCTCATTTCTAGGAATTTGTTCCCAGTGACTGCAAACACTTTCTTAAAGCTCCCTAAGAAAAACAAGTCAGAAAAGCCACAGGGTTTGTTTGCCTTCCCGTGCGCCAGCAGAGCCTGCCTGCGTTTCCTTTTGTCTTTGATTTCCTCCAAACCTCAAAACCATGTGGAGTGAGGATTTCTGCAGCCTTGGCTGGGGCATCTTTGGGTGTGTGGGCAGCTGCCCAGCCACAGCTGTGCTGGGTCACCCACCCTGGCACCCTTGGCCACTGCAGTGTCCCCATTCCTACACGGGGTGCAGTTCCTCTGAGCCAGCTCCCAGGATCTCATTTGAAAGACAGGAGACAGCAGAAATTTCACATTATTCCATCAATTAATGAATCCATTTATCCATCCATGCCCTGACTCTGTGCACTGTAATAGGTGCTTAATATCAGGGATGAGCAGCCCCGTGGAGATTATAAGAAGTGGAGGCACACTGGAGGCTTAAAATAAATAAGATAAACATCTTAATTAATAAACGATGGAGTCGAAGCCTTTGCTGCAATCCATGGAATTAGACTGGAGATTATTTTCCATGCTGGGGATGAGGAAAAGCCTCACTCTGACACCCAGCCCTTCCTCTCCAGCCTCACAAACCTCACTCCTGCTGCTTGCCCTGGCCTGTTATCTGTTGTGGTAAATTATTAGTTACAGTCAGAGGCACGGGAGGCATTTGTCAATGCAGACACGTAAAACTGAGCAGGTTTTATATCAGAACTAATTCAGAGCCCTGTAATCTGCCTCAAACCCCTGTGGCTGAGCAGGTTTTGTGGCAGGTAAGGCTGTGCCCAGCTCACACAGCACAGCCTGAAAACGTGGGCTGTATATTTTGCTCCGGGGGGATTTTTCATCCATGAAAGGCTTCTTTCACACCAGGCTTAACAACTGAGGAACGTTCATGTTGAAAATGGATTAAGAAATCAGCAGCCACTGTAATGTTTAGCTACAGTGAGGTCTATCTGATCCCAAAGAAAGCACTGTAAGCCACCTATGCTCAGAGGGAAATCTGAATTTATGTATTTTCAAAGCATTACATGCAGAGATAATCAAGCTGATAGAGCCTCTGATTTACATGGGGCTGGTGAGTGATTGTGAGCACGAGGGATTCTGGCAGGGCTGGTGCTTTGTGCCAGAGGAGTTACAGGGCATTGCAGAGGTGAAAATAATCTTGTAAGTGCCAGCAAGGGTGGCACATCCCTTACCCATTCCCAGTGTATGCTGCCTGGGAAATACCTAGCAGTGTTTTCCAGGTGGAAAACAGGAATGTCTCCATCACTCCAGGTTATTTTGTGCTAATCTCAGCTGCAGAGGATGCACAAAAATCCCCTCTCTGCTGGAAAGGGGAACATAACACTTGTATTTCTTCAGAAAGCTGATTCAGGGCAATATGGGAAAATAGCAAGTGTGTGTCTGCACAGTGATAAATCCACAGGAATGGAATTCCACCTTCTCCAGAGGTTGAAAGTACTTAAATAATGGGGTGGAAGGTGCCCATGATGGAGCTGTTGGTCAGCTCCTGGCCCAGGCAGGTGAGGGATGCTCAGGGGGGTGTGAGGCTGCAGAAGGGCTGGGATGGGGGGCTCAGAGCTGCACTGGGGCTGTGGGGAGGACATGGGGAGATTTTTTGGGCACTGACCATGAGTGGTGGCTCCAGACAAGACTCACTCCAGTCACCAGCTGGAAAATGGGAGAGGAGCAAGAGCATCCCAGGAGGGGTCTGTGGTGTTGTTGTGCTGCTGTTATCAGTGACTCCACTGAAATTAAACCTCTCTGCCAAAGGACTCAGCTCCTGCAACTTGGAAAGGGCAAGAGCATCACATCAGTATTCTTGAGAGGTTCTGACTGGGTCCAGATAGATTGGAAATGAAAAAAATAGGAATAGAAACAATATATAAATAGATTCTGAAATATATAAAGGTATTCCTGCAGGGAAACAAAAAATAAGGAAAGGAGGAATTAGAAGTGGAGGTTGTGACAAATAAAAGTAAATATTTCATTTAATCTCCCCCAACACAGCATTGCTGAGCTTGGTTGTATTGCAAACTCTGTACCCACCTCACTCCAAGGCTGCTGGTGGTGCTTATTAATTATTTTATCTGCTTTTTAAAATTTTTATCTGCCATAATTGTTTTATCTACTTTTAAAAGAAAGCTTTTATTTTAGTTTCTGGGATGTAACCAGGTGAGGTTTAAAGCTACAGGATATTATAGATGGCCTGTCACTCATGACAGCATTTGAAGTGATATTCCTGTTTTTCTTGACCCAAATCCGCTGTTTACTGGCTTTACTCATTAATGCTGATGAGTTTGTTATTTCTCTTCAGATTTAATATTTGCACACTTGGTTTTATTTGATTATCACTGAAAGCCTTAATTTTTCCCCTAGTCCTGGGGTTTCCTTTTCATTTTTCTATTAATTAAATCAGCCTTTTTCTGCCTGTGCCAGTCAGACGCACTCAAGCACTTTTAATTAGCTCCACGTCCTGCTAATCTTGCAAAACCCTAATTTTGATTCATAATTTTTTTTTTATTTGTTTGCTTTATGACTTGTGGCCAAGCAGTTTCCTCTCGGGTGCTGGTGGGAGGTTTATGTGCTGCCTTGGAAGCAGCTTCGCCACCCCGGGCACTGGGATCAGCAGAGGGAGGGAGGGAGGGAGGGAGGGAGGGGTGGGGCCACAGCAGCTCCCGGGAGAAATCCTGCCTGGGGGAAAAGGACACAGCCTCACCCCTCTTGTCCTGCTCACAGCAATTTTCAGCTAAAAATTTCCTGCATTTATATATTTATATATAGCATTTATTTATATATATATGAGGTTTTAAAATAATATATAATTTCTTATATATAAAAATTTATTTATATTTATATTTATATTTATTTTATATTTATACTTATATTTAGTTTATATTTATATTTATATTTATATTTATATTTATATTTATATTTATATTTATATTTATATTTATATTTATATTTATATTTATATTTATAATCTCTCCCAATACTAAACCACCTTTTTCCCACTCCATTTAAACCTTGGAAAAACTCTTTTCTCCAGCCTTAAATTTGCAGGCAATTTTTTTCAGAGCATCACTAAGCCTTCTGCTGAAAGGATTTTTTTTTTTTTTTGGTACTCATTCATTTTAGGAAATCAGAGCAATAATGGTGCCCCAAATAAATTACAAAGTGAAGTTTTACATTGCTTGCTGAAAAAAAAAAGAAAAAAAAAAAGGAGCAGAGCTGTGTGCCACTGGGAATGGTGTGTGCTCCACAGGGAGGGATGGATGCAGGGTTTCCATTTAAATACTGGAGAAGTGGCCAGGGGGGCTGGTGATTGAAAAGAAGATTTACTTCTCTCTATTAAACCTTTTTGTTGTTACATCATTGGTTTATGGGAGTCAAATGCAGCAGGTTTTGGTGATGTTTCAATGGAATCAGATCCTGAAATGGTCTCGTTTGGAGTTGGAGCCAGCCTGGAGAGGGCAGGGGTCACACCCGGGGGGTGCCAGGATATCACACCTGGGCTCTGCCCAAAAACGTGCCAGGGTGGAGGTGGGATCAGCCCCAAGCTGTGCCCAATGAATTCCAGCTGATGGGAGATAAAAAAGAACCGAGGGAGAAAAAAAAAAAAGCCAGAAATCCCAGAAATCCCAGCTCTGGCCATCTCGTAAGGAACTGTTTGTCTGAGCTCATGTTGAACCTTTTCCCAGGATTTTCCAGCCTTGCTTTTATTCCCCTCTGTGCCGATTGCCAGGACAAACGTGTGGATTTGGGAGGCTCCTCTGCAGCCCTGCAGGAGCAGCCTGGCTGCTCTGGGGGCTGGGACAGCCCAACCTGTCCCTGCCTTGGGACAGGGAGAGGAGAATCCTCCCCTGGGGAGGGAAAACCAACAGGATGAGATTCGGGGGGTTTTAGAGCTCGTGTTTTTAGCTGCTGGAGAGGATGTGGGAATAGAATGTTTTATTTGGTTGAACTGGGTGATCTTAGGGGTCTTTGCCACTGAAAATGTTGGCTTTGGGGTGAGGTGTCCCTGGGAGTCCCAGGGTGGGTGCAGGGACAAGAGGGAACTGTGATCCCAAATCCCCTGGACAGCACAACTGGGTCAGCTCCAGTGCTGATGGAGCACCTCCAAACCATTCACTCCTAAAAAAACCCTCCAGTCTGGGATGGTTTATACCACCAAATGCTCTAAATATTAATTGAGGTGATTCTGCAGAGCCCCCTTGATTAAAACACCGTTTTTTCCATGCAAAAAACTGGATTGTCAGGTTTTTGTTCTGGGCTGTCACACTCCAGCTCTGAGTCCCAGTGTGGGACCAGGGCCAGCCTCAGCTCAAAGGCTTTTTCACTTTGAAAGAATAGAGGGGAGGAAGAAAGAAGCAGAAAATATATTAAAATGCAAGATTTTATATTAGTTATGTGATCCCCCGGGAGCAACCATAAAATTATGTGGCTTTTTCGTAGCCATTTACTATTCAATATAAAAAGGGGAGTTGCCATAGAAACCACTGCATCATCTGACATCTGATACCTTGGTGAAACAGGGAGCTCTTAAATCAACTCCCCAAATTTCATATGAAAGTAAATACATTTTACTGGTGATTTCGAGGCGAGTTTGCCTTGTGACAAGGAATGTGGCACCATTTCCTCAGCTCAGCTCGTGGCCTTTGGGCCCCATCCTGCAAACTCAGGCCCTGGAGCCGACATTACTCAGCAGTGTGAGAGATTGGAAGTTAGAGGAGTTTGTTTTCCTGAGTAAAATTAAATGAAAGGAGCAAATGACACCATTTTTTTTTTAAAACATTTCTTGCTGACTGGGGAATGCCAAAAAAATGAAGAAGTGGAGTTCTGTGACAGCTGAAGTTCCAGCTGCAAGTGTGTGAGCAGCACAAAGGAGGGAGACAGGGGGGTGAAAATAGAAATAAAAATTAAGAGCATGTTTGTTTAAGCTTACATTGGGCTTTGGGGTTGGGCTCTCTGCTCAGCACGTGTGGCATTGAGGGGTAGCAGTGACATCACCCTGGGGATGCTCTGGCTCCTCTGCCAGCACCAAGGCAGTTCCAGGGGCAGGGGGAGCAGCCAAGAATTTCCCAAAATATCCAGGAGCTCTTTGGGTCTCACCTGGTGCAGCCCAGGAGGATCCCCACCACCGGGTCCCTGCCAACCTGTCCCAAACTACCTATTTTTTTGTCCAAAACCAATTTTTAAAATGTGTGTGACAGTGTCTGACACTGAATTAATCTCCCCATGAAAAAGGTAAGTGCAGGAAAATACAAAGTTATTGTTTTAGCATCACCTTTGAGGCCGAGGGCTCCTACATCACTGTTCAGGGCTCTGTCCCATCAATTAAAATACTTCTCATTTTTGACACAATTCTTGAAGTTAATCTTTCCACTGATGTTCGTCACTGAAGTGGAATTTACATTTGTTTTGTGTATTTTTAGCTTTCCAAAGCAGCCTTGAAAACTATTTAGCCTGAATTGTTGGCATTTCACTGTGCACTGACTCTGTTTTGTGGCTAAAGGTTGGTTTTGGGGTGGTTTGTAAGGATTTTGAATGCACAGGGATTACACCAAGCACAAGGAAGGAGGATTTGTGTGCAGACACAGCCTCAGTGCAGGAACTCTTGTTCTTAAGTAAAATGCTGGTTTTATGCAGAGAGTGGTTGCTGACCCCCAAAAAGATGAGGGAAATCCCCTGTGCAGCTCCTGGGGAGCCACACACTCAAATTCCAACAGGAATTACACTGAGACAGGTGGGCAAATATTCACTTTTTTTGCACGGGACAGAAATGCCCAAACTTGTAAATGCAGGCTCCAAGTTTTGGAAATTGTTTGGTCTCCTCGACTTTGAAGATGTTATTAAAAATACATTTATCTTTTTTAAGGGCTCATTATAGCCCAGTGGATCCTGCTTTGGAGGGGGAACACAGGGTGTAACAAAACTTGGGCTCCTAATTTTCCCTTTGGAAATCTCAGTTTAAAGTTTTCTTCATCGTGAAGCTGAGTTGCTCTGGCTCTGGGGAGAAGTCACCCATCCTGGGCAGTGTGGGACAGACAGTGAGGAGAGCTCAGCAAACCCCAGATTTTGCTCCAGCCAGCCATTATTTATCTGCATGGCTCAACTCTTAATTACTGAAAATTGAAATGTCCCTTCTCTTATGAAAGTGCCATCCCTCGACTGTTACTTTGTTTTATGAGTGGCTGATATATAAAAGCAGAGAAAAGGCTCCAGCCCAAAACCTGAGCCGACCCTCTCAGATCTACACCCTGCACATCAACAGCCACAAAGTGGTTCAGAGGCTTGATGCAAAGCTGATAAAATGCCAAAAATTCCTCATTCTCTCTCTTGGGGAGCAGGGAGGGTTGTCTGGAAAGCGTCAACAGTAAAAATTGCATTTAAGTGGTGCATAATGCAGCAGCTACTGTGGGCAGGGGGACCTGCAGCAGATTGAGGGGGTCTGGAGCTCCATTCACTGCCTCCCATCCCGGCTGGAGCACCTGGAGCTGCTGCTCTGAGCTCTCCTGGCCATGGCAACCATGGAGAAGAAAGGGTTTCTGAACACACAGAGCAATCCCAGAGCAAAACCCACAGAGCTTCGTGGTAATTCTCATTCAAAACTGGCTAAAACCATAATTAGTGTGAACCGTGCTGCAGAGTGCACATCCCTCCATCCCTCCCTCCATCCCTGTTTCATCCATCCCCCATTTATTTACCACCAGTGGAAGCCCCCACCCAGCACAGTGTCCCCTCCTTGTCCCTTTGCCTGTCTCTGTCCCTGGGCTTTGGGCACCCCAGCCTGGCTGGAATCCCTCTCCCCCAGGAGCAGCCAGGCTCAATGAGCCCATTTGGGAGCAGAAGGAGGAGATTGGAAAGGATTATGCTGAGAAAACAAGGCAGCAGTATTTCTTCTTTGCCCAGTAAAAGGAATAAAGGCTTTTCTTAAAAGCATCCCACTTCTTAAAAGAAATTCCATTTCTTGAAGCCATTTTCTTCTGCAGTGTCTGGGCTTTGTGGAATCTCAGTGCTGGGATGGGATGAGCCTGGGCAGCCCCTCTCAGCCCAAAAAGCTCCACCAAAAAATCCCTTTATTGGAGCCAGGCTGTGATCCCTGCTGGACCTCAGCCCTTCCCCAACCCCCCTGGCACCCTCTATAAAAAACCTCTTGGCTGGTGCTGGTCCTGCCTTTCACTGGCCAAAACTCGAGAAGGGAGAGGTGCCTGGACCAGCCACCCACACTCAGCCACTCCACAAACAGCAGGAAAAACCAAGCTGCTGCTTTGTAGTTCGGGGTTTTTTAAATTTATTTATTTTTACCAGCAGATAAAAGAAAAATAGCTTTCTAGCTTTTTTCCCCCTGTGGTTTCTGTGTTGTTTTTTTTTCCTCTGCTAAACTGTGTATTTTTCAGCTCAGTAAAGTATTTATTAGGAATCTTTACAGAGCAGGCTGCTGGTGAATTATATATTGTACAGCTTCGGCGTGAGCTGGGGGAAAAAAAAAAAGTTATGACATTTTTTCCACCCAGACTGATTCTATCCAATAGCAATAGGAAAATGAGGGTTTACCAGGAAAGCTTTAAGTTGAGCTCTGCTTGCCAGAGCTGCAGATACCTTTTGTGCCTTGGTTCATGTGCATTTCTAGAATGTAAATTTTCCTTTCTAACTGCAAACGAAGCTAAAGCTGAGCTCTGCCCGTTTTGGATCTTGCTACAGAGTGTCCAACAGCCACGGCTTTGTCCCTTTTCTTTTAAGAATGGATTTCTCACGTCAGCATCCATTGTTTTTCAGATCATCCTTAATTCAATGCACAAGTACCAGCCCCGGCTGCACATCGTGAAGGCGGATGAGAACAACGCCTTCGGCTCCAAGAACACGGCTTTCTGCACCCACGTCTTCCCTGAGACCTCCTTCATTTCTGTCACCTCCTACCAGAACCACAAGGTACGCAGCTTTTGGGGCTACAAATGCTTTCATTCCGGCCAGGAATTTTGTGAGAGGATCTTCCTGTTGTGCTGGTTTAAAAGACAAGTTTCCATCCTGGCTTTAAGCACGAGGGATGCAGCTCTGGAGGAGCAGGGATGGTGCTGGTAACAATATTTTGGCAAAGCCTGGGCTGCCCTGACTCACTGTGCTCATAGAGCTGAGATGTCATTCAAACAGCAAAGAACATCTAATAATGACCAGTAAAGCTTGCTCATAAATCTGCAGTGGACAGTAATTATAGAATGTGTGCTTAGTGAGACAGATGAGGAATGTAACCATAAAAACAGAGCTCAGAGCTGCCTCTGTGGTTTGCACGTGGAGGCAGGAGGGGTCTGGGGGGGAGATTTTTGGGGGTGTGAAGTACAAAGGGCTCAGTTCTGTGCTCTAGGGCTGGTTTGTGGTTTGAGGTGCTGTTACCTGTGCAGTGGGCAGAGTTCTGTCTGAGGGCTGGATCCCAGCACGACTGACAGCAGTGGGACAGTAAATTGTCACCTCCCTGTGTCACCTCACCAGGGCAGGGACAGCAGGGGATGGAAAAGCTTCAGATTCTGTCCTGCTACTGCTCTGCCTTTGCACAAGCTTCCACTCCCAGGCATCTTCCTAATGGTAAAGTCCAATTGCTGTATGAGAAATAATTAATAATTTAATTGGAATTTTTAAAGTGCATCAAGATTCATAATTAAGGGTGCAGAGTGAGGTAGCACTGCCAGACCCTCCTGCCACCCTGAGTGTGAAATCTGCCATGTGTAACTGCACCAGTTCCTTTCCTACACATTCATAGGAAAATCCTGCAGGAACAGGAACAAGTGTGAAATTCTTCCTCCCCAATAACCTGACCAGAGCTTTTCCTCCCAAGCAGGATGCCTGTGTGCCCTTTGATGCTTTAAGCATGGAGTCCTTGCAAAAATGTTGTAATTAGTGAGCCAGTTAAGAGACTCAGAGCAGAAACAGGGATGTGGTATGGTCAGGCAGGGAGGGGGAAAAGTGCCCATTAGGACACTGGAGGTAGAAAAGTTGTAGCTGTTGATGTAAAAGTGACCAATTGCCCAAACATGGTTAACCAAAAAGACTCAAAAGAGCTTATATTTAATACATATTTAAAATGTCTGCTGTCAATGGTGCCTTTCATCCCTAAAGTTCCCAAAGTGCTCCATAAACTCCACACTTGCACTGTCACTGCTGTGCTGGGGGTGGTTTGTGGCTGGGGGGCAGCACAGAGTGGACCTGACAGATTTAGGGAAAATGTCCCAGATGAGCCCAAATTCTTTAGTGAAGATTCTGTGAGGAGCCTCTGTGGCACTGCCCAGCTCCTGCCCTGGGCTCTGCACAGGGGATGGACACTGCCCTGAGCAGGGGACACAGGGACCTGCAGCAGGTGACAGCAGGCACAAGGACTCACCATGACCTCAGTGTGGTCTTGAGAAAATCTCAGCCTCAGAGGAATACCTCAATGGTTTTATTTATTCTCTTAAGAATCAACAATTATAAACCTGGTCTGGGTTTCTTTTAGAAGAAACAAACTGCTGAACTATTTTTAGCTCAGGCAACTCCTGCTAGCAAGAAGTGTGGCTGTAAATAATTGTATTCCTAAAGAAAAAAAAGTTGAGGATAGAAGTTACCCCTGAGCACAGGTCAGTGAGGAAGGTGTGTGCTCACCCCAAATCCCCTCCTGGGCTGGATGAGGCCAGGGGAAGGTGACAAGGAGGGAGTGAAGCCCTGATCCTGCTCACGTCAGAGGAAAACCACGATCACCAAGTAACAAAATGAAATTAAGATGTACAAACCTGCTGTCAGGCTGTGGGTTTGGAAGGGTCCTATGCTTCTTGTGGTTCATCAGCTGCTTGAGCTTCCCTGGAAGAGCTGGAGCCCTGGAGGCTGCTTAAATTCACATGTCACCACCTTCCCCTGCAGCACTGATAGCGGCCAGCTGTGTTCTCAGGAGTTTTTTTGGTAAGGGTGATTTTTCAACATTGCTCAAAGTGAAGTTGTCAGTAACAGCAAAGCTCATGCAAAACCATCCCAAAGCAGAACTGGCTGCTCTCCTCAGCATTAAAATGGGATGCAGGGGGCTCAGAGCAGGGAGAGGGGCTGTGCAGGATGAGTTGGGATGCCTTTCACAGAGCTAAAATGACTGAATGGTGGCCATAAAGGTGTATTAAATGGTTGGGAATTAGGGAGAGCCACACCGTGACAAACAGGGTTCTCTAACATGGAACCATAGGAAACCTTTTAAATCAGACAAATAAATTCTCTTTATCAGGAGTCCAGAAAAAGAACATGGGGCCTAGAATAAGACCCAGACTCTGCATTTCACAGGGGTCATCAGGACTGGGCCCCTCCAGACCCACCAGCTCAGCCCTGCTGCTGCTGCACTTCTGCTCTGGTTTGCTTTCAAACACTTTATTCTTGGTTTTATTCTTTTAAAGATAACCCAGCTGAAAATTGAAAACAACCCCTTTGCCAAGGGCTTCCGGGGCAGCGACGACAGCGACCTGCGCGTGGCGCGGCTCCAAAGGTACCTCCCTCCCTCCATCCCTCCTTCCCTCCTTCCCTCCTTCCCTCCCTCCTTCCCTCCCTCCCTCCTTCCCTCCTTCCTCTCCCTCCTCTCCCTCCTCTCCCTGCTCCTCTCGGGCTGCAGCTCTTTGGAGGAGCAGCTGGAAGGTGCCACAGCCACAGCACCGTGTTTGCTCGTGCCTGGATGCCACCGATGTCCCTCCAAAGCCCTCCCTGTGCCTCGGACACGCTCTGTGCTGGCAGTTCCTGCCCACGCCCAGAGGAGCGCGATGAGTTCATCGTCTGAAGCAAAGGGTGGTGAAGTCACTGGCTGGAGATGCTCTGGGGGGAGCCAAACCAATATTTCCTCATTCTCTTGATGTAATTCTGATGATGCTGATCACTGCCTAACCAGCCTTAATTTTTCTCACCTCTTTTAGCAAAGAATATCCAGTAATTTCCAAAAGCATCATGAGGCAGAGGTTGGTGTCCAGTCACGGGCAGCTGTCAGCAAAGCCAGATGTTAACCCACTCCATGGGAATCACCAGACCCTTCAGCATTATCAGTATGAGAACGGTGCTCACATGCAGTTTGCAGCTTCGGATACTCAAGATCTGCCACTCAACACCTTCACAGCACAGAGAGATTCAGGGCTCTTCTACCATTGTCTAAAAAGAAGAGGTAACTCGAGCTCACAGCTAGAAAAATATTATAGAAAATAAGCCTGAGAGCATGAGTTCAGTTTGGATTGGTGTCTTGGGCCTTGATCTTCAAAAATACTGCTGTGGTTGGAGTGTTTTGGAGGGTCACGAGGCAGGAGCTGCTGTTTGAGGCAGTTTTTAGTGGGTTTGTCCCATAGAAGGTAAATTCAGACTGAGACAGAGATGAAACAATTAATTAGAATGTGTAATTCAAATGGCACAGAGCTTCAGTGGAAAATTATCCATTGTTAGGATCAGCTGAATTCAAAATTGTTTGCAGGAGGCCATTAGCATTACCAAAATTCCACACTTTCCAAGGCAAAGCCATGAGCAATTCCCTCAATGTCTGCAGGCCAGTGGGACTTTGAGAGCTTGCTATGAGCAGCCCCTTTCCTCTCATCCACTAATTCTCAAATTTAAGTGAGCTGTGACTGCATTCTCTTCCTTTTAGTCCAGCATCAGATGAGATCATGGCATGTTTTAAGTTAAATGGAAAAGTTTTGCACAGAAGAAAAAAATCCTTCTATTTGCATGTCTCACTGCCTGCTAATTTCTTTAAGCTGGGAGAATCCTCTGATCATGGCTAAATGAAGAATCTAACAGCATCAGTAATGAGGGCTGCAAGGCAAATGTGTAATTTTAGCAGATGTTTAATGTGCAGATGAATTCACTAATTCATCCAGAGAGTATTCCTAATAAGTAACAAAAGCTGCTGGGGAGCAGGGCCATGGTCCTCCCAGGAGCAGAGGGGCCGTGCAGAGATGAGGAAGGGCTGCTGACCGGGAAAGGGCTCCTTTATCTGGGAATGTTTCTGCAGCTTTTGACGTGAATATCTGGGAAATGTAGAGTCATTTTTGCAATGACAGGAAGGCAGGCTGTGATAAGACCCTCTAAGAGACTTCTTGAATTTGTCAGGAGGAACCGTGCAGGAGTGCCAGGGCCCTCCTTATCTGGGTGAACGTGGAGTAATCCCTGATGTGAGAAGTCCCTCACTTAAGCTGACAAATGTCACCAGAGTGCTTTGAGGCCGGGGGGGATTAGCCTGACATTTGCAGCACAATGTCTTTTTGATGTTGTACATTGTTTTCCCAAACTAAGATGGTTTAACTGGATTAAACTGAGAAAGGGCACCGGTTTAGCGAAATAATCGCGGCCTCCAAGGGGACTCCCCAGTCCCAGCAGAGCTGCTCCTGAACGTGAATTTTTCTTGCAGAAAGCGCTCGGCACCTGGACCTGCCCTGCAAACGCTCCTACCTGGACGCCTCGTCCTCGGTGGGGGACGATCACTATTTCCGCTCGCCGCCGCCCTACGAGCAGCAGATGCTGAGCCCGTCCTACTGCGGCGAGGTGGCCCCGAGGGAGGCGTGCATGTACTCTGGCTCCGGCGCCGACATCGCCGCCGTCTCGGCCGTGGACGACCTTCCTCCCCCGCCGCCCCCGCTGAGCTGCAACATGTGGACTTCAGTGGCACCTTACACCAGCTACAGCGTGCAGACCATGGAGACTGTTCCGTACCAGCCCTTCCCCGCTCACTTCCCCGCCGCGCCCATGATGCCGCGGCTGCCGGCCATGGCCGGGCAGGGCTCGCAGCCGCCGGGGCAGGGCCCGTTCAGCGTCTACAACCAGCTGGGCCAGGCCCCGGGCCGGGAGCGCGGCCCCTCCGCCTTCCCCCGGGAGCGGGTGCACCCGGCCGTGTGCGAGAGGAAAGCGCCCTCTCCTCACCTGAACGCGGCCAACGAGTTCCTGTACTCGCAGAGCTTCTCGCTGGCCAGGGAGTCGTCGCTGCAGTATCATTCAGGGATGGGGACTGTGGAGAACTGGACTGACGGGTGACCCCCGCGCCGCAGCCCCTTCCTGCTCCAGGACAGTGCGGGCAGTGTTGATACCTGTGGGTAACTTGCACTTCGGTGAGACACATGTGCATTTCCAGAGGGATTTGTGTGGGTGAAGAGCTCGTATCTTCAGGCACACAGAGAATTCCATCTCCTGTCTCAGTGGGCTGGATTCACCAGGCTCTTAGTGACTCCCAAGTAAATTCATTCCCGTGTCTTCATCCAGTAGAAACCATCTTCATGACTAACGAGTGACGTAGCTAGTCATGTTCTTTTGCTTGTAATGTTAAACATCCGTGAGCAAATTTTGGCTATTTGGGAAAAATACGAGCTTCACTTTTACGGTCCTTGGCTCATGAAGCCACAACCTCCCAAACCTGCGAGGGAAAAGCCATTTGACGGGTTGCATAGCTCCAGGACTGCCGTGGCAGCGCTTCTTTGTCCCTTTTGGTCCGTAGAGATTCCTTTTCCTCGGGAAGTGAGGGAGCGGCGGCAGCGCGGGGCCGGCGGAGCGCGGGGGAGCTGCGGGGCCGCCGCGGGCACGGAGGAGAAGGCAGCGATGCACAAATGTCTCTTCTTGCCCCCACACCAACATCGGGCGTGGCTGTGGGAAGCGAAGAAGTGAAGAGTTAAGTCCGAGGCCAAACAGCAAATTAATTGCAGCGTTAGGAGCAGACCCAGTGTCTTCAGACTCCCATCCCTTGATTGAATCACATTTGCTTATTGCAATATATTTATGAAGTTTAAGCTTAAAAGTCGCTAATACTTTCCAGAACCAATTTCTGTATTTGCTGGTCCTTGATTTCTTTCGTATTCAGCTGAAACGTGCCTTCTGTGCTATGTTCTTTTCTTTTGCAGCTAACTCAGACAGAATTGTTTTCAGCCTAAAGGAGGCCTAGAGGAATATTTTCCTAGTGGTGGGGTGGGGAGGGAAGGGCTCCCATGACCTGTCAGGCTTTACAGTGTACAAATATTTGTAGAACAGGTAAAATCTGTAACCAGTGTATTCATTGCTCCTTTTGTTTACTGTGGAAGTGTCCGGGGCTGATTCCTCTGTGCCCTCTGCAGTGTCCCTGTGAGCTGCCACGGGGGGCTCGGATCAGGGTGGATTTGATCATCTTGGAGGTCTTTTCCGTCCTCAGTGGTTCTGTGAGGAGGCTGACACTCGTGGGGAAGCAGAGGAATTCCTTCTGGGACAAAACTGCCATTGCCCTCACCCGCAGAGCTCCTGTCCCCTGCAGTGCCCATCCTGCTGAGCTGGCAGGCAGTGCCACCAAGGCACGGTGACACCGGGGCGATGCTGCAGTTTGCTTCCATTGAACAGCACAATATTCAGGCTTTAGTCATTGCACAGGGTTTGTTTTTTTTTTATTTCCTCCCATTGCTTCCCAAACCAGCAAAGGCAAAAAGCTGAAATGCAGGTTTGGAAGTGGGGAGGTGATTCTGTGTTTTGGTGAATCCATCCCGAGGAGGAGCCCGATGGATGAGGGGGCTGTGACAGCCCCGAGGTCACATTTCAGCCAGGACAGTCCCCTGCACCCACCCAGCAGAATTCATGTGTGACTGGTGAGGATTTTGTAACCAGATTTTGGAAATCACTACAATTTTTGCATGCTGAATAGCTATTTATATACATATATATTTTATATATATATATATATATAAAATTATATATATCACAAATGCAGGCCACGTGTCCAATTCAGCTTTGCTTTTGATGAATGAAATACTTAATAAAAATGAATGTTGCAAAGGAATTTTTTTTTTTTTTTGGAAAGACATCTATTTAATTTTTTTTTTTATTACACACCTTTGATGTAAAAACTAAGAATTGGTTAGACAAAAAAACCCATATATGCTACAGATAAATCTTTATTAGAAACCACATTAGATACAGGTGGTATGGAATTTTTAAATGTTTGTTACATAGCATGGACATTTTATTTTACATATCAGAACATAAAGTCATTTTACTACTACAAGCTGTCTCTGGGTGCATTTCAATAATTAGTATAAAAATGTTCCATGGTGAATTAAGATGCCTCCTCTCTCTTTGGTCTCCTGCTGCCTGACTACACCAACCTCACACTTCCCAAGGTGCACACCTGACCCTTTTTTCACCATCTCAAAGCTCCACCATCAGGTGTTAGGTGCCCATGGGTTTATTTGGGATTTTTCTGGTGTTTCTTTGCTTTAGGGGTCACATGAGTTGATCTGAGCACTGAGTTAAAAGCAGCCACTGATCCCCAGAGCACCAAAGCCACGTTCCTGTGCCTGGGTACAGCCCAGTGGTAAAGAATAAAAGGGGGGAGGGAGCGGGGAGAGGTCTGGGGGTGTCACTGCCCAGAATTTGCAATGCTCAGTTCATTTCTCACTGTGACACTGGATCAACACTGAACCAGACAAATGGAACCCAAAAATGAGTGGGGTCAGCAGCCCAGGCTGCAAAGGAAAATCTCCTGGATCTTCTGCCTGTTTTACAAAGGTGACCAACACAATAACAATGTCGTTTTTAATGAATAATCACTGCTGCTTTTTCAACCATTTTTCATGCACCTTCTGCTCATCCATGCGGTATTTATTGATTTAAGGCAGTTCAAAAAGCAATTCCTGGAAGAATTGTCCCAGAACCTTTCAGTCAATGCAGGGAGTGTAGAGAAATCTTGATCAGGTAATGAATGCAAGTTTTACCTGGCAGCCTTTGCAAAGGGCAGGGCCCAGCTCTGTCCCACAGCAGCCACTGCAGCTGAGCCAGTGTCCTGGGAATCCCTGTGCCAAATAATGAGCTTTTCCTTGTAAAAATAGCACAGGATATTTATGAGTACAGGACCTGATTGGGAAAGGCTGAGTTAGCATAAAAATGTGCAAAATTTGGATATCTGCTAATCTGGTCATCTGGGTTCCTTTTATAGTCACTGGAGAGAGATCAGACACTGAGATTAAATGGGATGAATCATTCTCCAGTGACAATCTTTTTCCACTCAGAGGAATCCAGTTCAGCCACTTAGAGCAGATTTCCCATTTCCAAATGGCTAAAAAGTCCTATTAGTGGGATCCCCCTCCTGTGTGACTTTGACAAAAACATTCAGACATCATTGAATTATTTACATTACAAATCCCACTCCAGATGATCACAGGAGACAAAAAAAAAAAAAAACAACTGGTTGTGTTAATTTATAGAATGGAAACTGTTTTTTTTTTTTTTAGTTGGCTTTGTGTTTTCATTGCAAGCTTTCTAACCTGGGTATGTGTCCAGTCCCAAGCCCAGGCTCCCAGTTGAGGCACCCAGGTCCCATTTGATTTCTTCTGATTTTGCCACCTGGAAAGGCTTGGCAGGTGCTGGTCCTGCTCGAGGTCGTGGTGGAGCAGGATCATTGCCAGGGATGAAGCAGAGCTCAGCAATCCTGAGTGTCCTGGAGGATGTGCTCTGCTTGTTTTTCAAATCAGAAACACTAAACTGGGGACATCACTAAAAAAAAAAATCCCAACAACCTGCACAGCTTTAAAAGAGATCAAGTGTGCTCACTGCGTGCCAGTTTGATTTACTACAGTTTAAACAGCTTTTAATTCTCAAGAATGTGGAGGTTCATGTGTGTGGAGGCTTTTCCAGCCCCGGAGTTGCAGCCCAGAATGGCAATCCAAGCTCAGGGAATCCAGGCCCACTTCAAATCAGATTAAAGCAAAAATTAGCAAGTGAGAAAAACCTGAATACACACGAGGACTGGTTTCCATTGATGTGCTCTAATCTGTACTAAAAGGCCCAGGGAATTTTTAAATTCTGTTTTTCTTTAAGGTAGATGTCCAAATTTAATCTTGGTGCAGGCTCAGTTCCACCCAGCCCAGCAGCACTCGGTGCCAGACTGAGCTTGGACTTCCCTCTAAATAGAACAAATATTTGTATCAGCTTGCTGAGAATGTGAGTAATAGGAATATTTGCCAAAATTTAAACAAGCTAAACTTCAGTCCTGCCAAAAGCCCCACCATTCAATTTGGCATCACTGGCAGCTCACAGGCTCAAGAGGGGCCTATGTCTGGAAGAGCTGGGGTGTTTTTGGCAAACATGAATTTATTTTTCTCTCTCTCCACATTTTGGAAAATTTGTGCCTCTGTGTATTAATTTATGATGTCATTAAATAATTCTTTTTGCAGCTTGTATAGAAAGAATGTTTCTTTTGAAGATGAGAACTCCCTTGAGGATGGTTATAGTGAAAAATTCCAGCCAGAGGGGGAAAAAAACCCCTCCTCTCTCCTTGGCCACTCATGTTTCTGCAGTAGTGCTTAAACAGCAAAAAAATCCACAATATTTTAATTTAAGGAGCTGCTCCAAGGAGGTGCCATGCACTTGACTGTGACAAGAGGCAGCCTAAATTCAGTGTGACTGGAGGGGTTTTATTCCTGTGATAGCAGGCTGGAAGAGAAATCATGAGCCTGTGATTTGCTGGTAGAAAACATCTCGTTTTGAACTGATTTGCTCCCTGCAAAGAACAGGATCAAGATTAAAAATTAAAGAAAAGAAAATCTTGGGAGTGGTACAAGCAAAGCACAAAGCCTTGTCCAGCATGAACCTTGTTTAGTGTGCCATGAGAGAAATGCCTATAAAACACATTTAGGGGTTCAGGTGGTGCTTTCATCTCAGGGTTCACAGCCCCTCCTTGCCCAGCCTGTGTCCTACTTAAACCAGGATTAAATTTAAACCTGGCAAGGGCTGCTCAGCCTCACTGGGGAGTGACTGGGGAAGGTGATGCCCTTGGGGCTCTGGGCCCCCATTCCTGCAGGAAGATCCTTTTCCTGCTCATGGCCAGCCAATGTTCCTGGCTGAGCACTTTTGGGATTGCCAGCTCAGATGTCCCAGTGGATTTACAGCACCAAGGTGCCTCCAGGATGGAAATTGCCCTCCTGAGCCCCAGCCCACCTTTGGAACCAGGTCCTGAGAGAAGGAAATAAAAAAAAAATAATTTAATTAGTGCAAAGAGCTAATTACACTAATTCAATTAAAATCAG